CAATATATTTGAAAATGTAGAAAACATCCACAAATATTTAAATAAATGGTATTCTATTATTAAAAGTGTGATTAATCGTGATACATTTTTTAATCGCGTGATTAATCATGATAAAAAAATTTATTGCGATAAATTTTTTTAATCGCTTGACAGCCCTACTAAATACATGAGCTAAAAAGGTGTTAAGTGCTCCTTGATGGTTTAACAGACTAGAAAAAGTAACAATTAATTTACTTGCTGCATAATTCCAGCATGTGGCATGTGCAACCTTTACTACGCACAGACTGATGGACAGATTTTTACTTGCACACAAAATATCTGAATTCACTTTTGAATGGGAAAACCATAAATGTGGGCAGTAAACAGCAGTGTTATGGATATTGCAGTGGTGCGCTGGATGTTCCAGGAGGCAAGGCAAGGATACTACAAAAGCAATCTATTGGTTGGATTGGTGGCAGGGCAGCAGTGTATTGGCAGTTGAAGGGATGAGATGGGTGACATGGTTCAGTAGCAGAACAAGTCTTCAGCTGGGGTTGAAGCACACGGTCCAGCTGAAGAGCTGCACTGGCAACTTGTCAGGAGTGTGAAGGCTACATGTAATTTGCATAAAGCTGAACAGATTGCAGCATTTTTAATAGGGAGGGGGGAACTGTGGAGGCCACTCAGATGACGAAGCGCTGTAGGATAGGATGTATACTCTCAACAGGCTACACCTTTTGGATGAGGGTGGCCATACTGGGCAACTCCAGAAGTGGAGGCATGTATAATCTGTTTTAGTCTTTGATTGAGTTGAACGAGAGACCAAAATATCTTTCCTTTGTACAGAGGCACACAGGACCTCCTCCAACAGGAGATTGACACCTGAGAGCACCACTAAGATAGCTACATTTTCTGGAAGGTGGGTGGAGATACTAAAAAAAGCAAACACAGAACAACTGGATAATTACCAAGAAATTATATAATATTTAATACTGGGTTCTACACTGTTAGGTGGCAAATACAGAGAAATACAGCACTCAAAAAGCAAATTGGATATGAAAGAAAATTATCACTCATCAGCATCCTTCTGAGAATACAAATATGTGGTTTTATGAAAATATATCATTTCTAGGTTGAAAACACCTACTGAATGATCAAAAGTTTTTTTGTTATAGCTACGTGCGCTAAACTTTTCTTAATACATGTATATAAAAATACAATGACATTTACAGTCCTAATGTTTGGCAGGTTTATTCAGCTTTAAATCCAAGCGGTGTGGATTTCTAGAACTAGTTGGTGCATGCAACCACATCCTCTGCCATAGAAGCTGTTGAAAGGAAGAGTCACATTTATAGGCCAAATTAGAAGTTGATCTGGGGGGAACTGAGCATTGAAATAATCTGTGTAAATTTCATATTAGAGTTGACAATATAAAGGATGTAATGGAGAGAACTATTTCACATTATGCTATGGGCTTGAAATAAGGCGACGTGGAGCCTGTCAGTCACTATGGGGTGGAGTTGTGTCCCCATTAGGGGGAAGAAGCAAATATCTTCTGATTTGTTGTATTAGCCACAAAGCTCAGATGATGAATTTAGAATATCAGTAAAAACTGCCTTCAGTGACCAGCAAATGTTTACCTAGTCAGTGTGGCATTTAACAAAAGATCAAATAAAATTCCACTGAACTACAACGCTGCTGTAAAGATCATTCTCCTAGCCCACTGCTTGACCATGTCACCCCACTCTTTGCCTCCCCCTTCTCTATCGCATCAAACATAAACTACTTGTCTTCACTTTTAAGGCCCTTCATGGCCTAACCCCATCCTACCTATCCTCTCTTATTCTCTATCAAGATGCTGACTCCGGCCTCTGATTGGCCCTTGCGCAAGCCTCCATTACCCATTGGTTAAATCTGAAACAAGCACCTTTGTGCTATCTCTCATGCTGCTAGTCAGGCTTAGGAAGAGTTCCCAATAAACATCTGCAGAGCTACCTCATTATCCTCCTTCAAAACCCTCCTTTTCTATTATGCCTACAAAAAAATGCCTATCACACTAACCAATATTGTCCCTGTACTCTCCCACTGGTCTGTCTGTCTGCACCTGTAGTCTCTTGTTTTGGAGATATCCTATCTCCTAGAACTGGAAGGGACCTCGAAAGGTCATCCAGTCCAGCCCCATGCCTTCACTAGCAGGACCAAGTACTGATTTTTGCCCCAGATCCCTAAGTGGCCCCCTCAAAGATTGAACTCACAATGCTGGGTTTAGCAGGCCAATGCTCAAACCACTGAGCTATCCCTCCCCTCCAAGTCTAAGTTTTATACTTAGATTGTAAGCTCTTGGGGGAAGGAACTGTATTTTTGTTCTGTGTTTGTACAGTGCCTAGCACAGTGGGGTTCTGGTCCATGACTGGGGCTCCTAAACTCTACAGTAAACAGTAATAACAACAACTCTAAAATCATTGCGGAAGACAGAGGATGCCTATTTGCGGAAGGTTAGTGAAGGTTTCACTGTATGTATATAGGATTTGCTAAAGTGGGATCAAACAAATGTCAAGTCTAATATCATGCCTTCAGCAGTGGCTAGTAGCTGATGTTTCATTCCTGGTCCATTGTGCAATTCTGTACACAGTGTGTGAGGGTGGGGAGTCCTTCCTTACTGCAGCTGATGCCCTGAAGCATGACGTTTGATTAACTTTCTCTTAGCCTGCCTAACTACAGATGTTTCATAAAAGCACTAAGCCTTTTTCAAAACAACCAAAGAGCCTTAATCTATTGAGCACAGCTTATTCAATACTTCTAACACAGGCAAAACTAAATCAATTACTTGCTGTGCAAACTCCAGACTATGGTGTCATTCAATGCATACATTTTTTTCTGCATTAAAGTTTAACTTTTGCTGGAGTCAAATCACCTAAAAAGTTTTCCCTGCTCAAACCCACTGACATAGTTTTCTATCAAAAGAGGTCATACCAAGTTTTCTATTTTGGGACACTGGGAGATATCTGAATGGGTCCTGTGCATGCCTTTGCATAACTGAAATCAAACTCTTTTGCGTCCTTTAAATTTGTTAGCAATGTGTCACATGCAGATTTCCATAGGAAAAAGACTCACACACAAAATTTGTATCTATGGGTGTCAATGATGACAATGCCTGCATGCTTTTCTTCCTTCTGTTGGTTTTGGTGTTTGAAACTCATGTCTAGTTTTTGGAACATGTTTGTACATATTTCAGCATACCTGTCTTTGATAACTATCTGGTGTATATGAGTAAAAGTTAAGACGTACTCTTTAAAAAAAAAACCCTGTGATGTAATGTAATTTTATTAGGCAGATAAAAGCACCAACAAACTATTAGACCATATGCAAACATTTCTAAAAGGAGTCACTTTCCAAATCTTATCTCAGAAAATTCTCAATTTTTGGAACAAATTCTAGGTATCAAGGAGACTACTGACAATAAATGGATTGTGGTTTTGCTTGAAATAGGTCACAATCAGCCTTAAGCTGCCTGACTGCACTTTTAACTATGCAGAAACTACCCTGTCTCCATATAATAATTTTGAGCAAGTCACCTAACCTCTCCATGATTCAGTTTCCCCATCTGCAAAAAGGGATAATGCTTGAACATCATGATAGAGCACTTTAATATCCTTGAATAAAAGGCCCTATAAGTACAAAGTTATTATACTCTTTGCCTGATGCCTGTTAATAAAGTGCCATAAACATGTAAATATAGTTATTTACAGTAGCAAATAAGCCACAGGTGCCATTTAACAAAATATTTTCCAAACTTTCAAAAGATGAGCCCTCTTTTAGGACAACAAAACTGACTGGGCTCTCATTGTTAAACTTCACATGGTGGGATTGCAATCTACCCATCTCTCAAGTGCTGTGCCCTCACTTCCTTTCCCCAGCTGGTACTTCATGCCCTCCTCCTCACACTTTGGGGAAATGCTGGTATAGATCTTCATAATATTAAACTTCTACTCATTTCTTATATGCTTTGATGTGCATTGAAATAATTTAAATGTCAACATTGTTAACTCATTATTGGCATCAGAGTGAGGAACCACTGAAAAGAATGGGGCAATTCACACCTGAGGGCTATGGTTCTAGGCTCTCTGCAAACTCTGGTCTCTGCGGCAGTTTCACTCCCTTCACATTTTCAAGGTTTTCTTCACAGCCATAACAACTAGAGACTTGGTGTTTGTTGTTTGTTTGTTTGGTTTTCTTTAAATGAAAGCTGGAGAACAATTTATGTCAGGGTCTTTAGCTGGGGCGCTCCCCATGTCTCTCCCCAACCCAGCTAGTCTCTGATGAACCCCAAGGGGCCACACCGCACACTTTGGGAAACGCTGATTTAATATATGGGAAATACATTTGTGTATCTTTCTGTTTAACACTAAGTAAAACATGCACTGAAAACTACCTACTTCCTTCCAGCCCACCCGATCTCACACACACTAAATGCTCAGAAACCATTCAGCAAATCCCAGATTATACCAGTTTGAGATCTTCAGAAAGCAAAAGTGCAACTTTATCTGTCAGCAACCGCTGCCCAAGTATAGTTGGTGGAGTGCTTCATTGCATTATGTAACTGCCCTCATCTTTAAAGTAGATATATTTCCTGTGGTGACCACTGTGTCTAGTATGTAATGACCCACCATCAACTGGACAAAAAGGGAACAAGGCCTCTTGGCCTTTGTCTCCACATCTTTTATGATGGAGCAGTGTTGAACACTGCAGGCTGGGATGGGTGGGGAATGTAGCTTGCAGAACCATCACAGTGAAGATGCTGCGTGTGCTATGCTCCTAGCATGCTGTCTGTGTAGCTCCTCAATTAGGGAAAATGAGGTTGCCTCGAACCAGTGTGTGCAAATCAGGCCATCTCTATGGATCTGAGGACTGAATGTAGCCCTATACGTGGGGCTATTGGAGGCGGTTCACCTCTTTCACCCATCCTCTGTCCCACTGTCATAAGCTTGTGTTCCTTTAGTTTCTGCACATACCCTGCACACCATCCTGCCCTAGGGCTAGCCCACCTCATGGGGTGCTCCCCTGCAGCAGCTGTGTCAACCCCTCCTCACCCTGGCACTGCATGCCTGAAACTTCTGAGTACCTGCCTGTCCTTTCTCCTCCTATGAAACCCCCAGGGTGGCCCCCATCTCTCCCTCTTCATAGTACCCCAGCACCCCATACGTCCATGTTTGGCTCGCAGAACCCCATCCCTTCCTCCCCATCCAGGCTTGGCTTGCAGAACCCCAGCCCCCCATCCCTTCCTCCCCACACAGGCTAGCCCCTCCAGCCCATCCCTCCTGCCTCACCTGGGCTGGATCCCCATCCCTCCCTCTCCATGGCACCTTAGCCCCCCTCCATCCATCCTTCCCAAGCAAGGCTGGGCCCCCCAGCATCCCACCCCATCCCACCCTCCCCTCAAGCTTGGTCCCAACACCCCAGCCCCCATCCCTTCCTCCCAGGCTGGACCCCCATCCCTCCCTCTCCATAGCACCCTGGCCCCCATCTATCCCTCCCCAGCCAGGCTGGGCCCCCAGCACCCTGCCCTCCCCCTAGGCTTAGCTCCCAGCCCCGCATCCCTCCCCACCCAGGCTGCCCCCCCCCC